TATTTTTCTTCCTTAACAACCATCTGGAGATCAGAGCCTTTTGGGAATTGAAGCACCCAGGATAAACATTTACGCTCTCAGGTTTTTATCCATTCTCCCATTGAACGGAGATTGGCTGGTTCTGCTGTGGAGCTGGCAGCATATTCGGACAGTGAGGAGGTTGGGGAGGAACATGGGCCAGTCCTGGACTCTGGAGAAGGCTCTGATGAGGGCTCTGTGTTGGAGGCAGAGAGGGGGCCAGAGCCATCTGGCAGTTATCAGCTGCCTTCGGAGTCAGACGTCAGTGAGGCAGACGAACAGCTGGAGCCTGTTCCCGGTGTGCACATGCGCAGAGTTGCCGGATGAAGGGAACAGCTAAGGAACAGGGGTCGATTTGGGAGTAAGGCCACAGGTGGACAGTGAATGGCCCCACCCAGAGGGAATAAAAGAGGAGCGAAAGGGGAGTGGGCTTTTGCAGGAAGCAATTCGCTCATTCCTTTGTTCGTTTCAGGAGTGTGAAGATCTGTCCGTGAATCTCTGAGACTCTGTGCCAAGTCTTTCCTTCCACAGCACTGCGTTTGGAAAATATTGACATGGCCGCTTTCCAAGCTAGATGAAGTCTGTGGCCATGAATTCACTTTTGAAAGACTGTTTACCGGGCCTTTGCTGAATGTGAATGAGAGGAATTCACATTCATTTAGTAAAAGGGGTGTTGTCGGGACCAGGAATCTGCTTCGTACTTTTGCGGGAAGCCTAGGTCAGAACAGGGTCGCCCTTTGGCTGCCTTCAGAGTCAGACATCAGTGAGGCAGAAGAACAGCTGGAGCCTGTTCCCAGTGTGCGCATGCGTAGAGCTGCCGGAAGAAAAGAACAACTCAGAAATCAGGATAGACTTGGGAGTAAAGTCACAGGTGGAAGGTAATTGGTCCCTCCCATAGGAAATAAAAGAGGAGTGAAAGGGGAGGGGGAATTTGCAGGAAACAATTAATTCGTTCGGGCATTAGATTCGTTTCAGGAGTGTGAAGATCTGCCCGTGAATCTCAGAGACTCTGTGCCCAG